TTTTTGAGAGAGATTTTCACTATAGGGCGCGTGCACTCACCAGACAGACACAGAGAGACACAGAGACAGAAAGCGAGAAATCACCCCCCAGGGGGTATGGTTACGCCGCAACCCCTTCTCTTTCATTCTCCTCTCGGGATCTTGGGCACGCATGCACACGCGCCCAGTGTGAGTTTTAAGCCACCGGGTCCAGGACGCGAACCGTGGTCAATTACGTGGGAGTCCAGCAACATAGCCATTACGCTAACTGCTGGTTCCCAAAAGAACTGTTTATATTTTAATTTTATTTATTGTTATGTTTTTTAAAAATGTGACCAGAGAAAGAGAGAGGGAAAATGAGAAAGCAAGCCATCAGGTCTGGAATTTGAACTGCAGTTGGCCGTGTGGCCAGTGCCTTTAACCATCATGCCACCTGCCAGTCCCTGAATAATCTATTTTTACAGTTCAGTAATCATGGTATTAAAAAATAGGTATGTTTGAGTTTTCCTATCAACTCTTTTTAAAATGAAGAGAGCATATTATAATGCTTTGTAAAAACTATCTATGAGATGCTTTTGGCCCTCTTATGGAAAATGCAGAGAGTGACAGATTTCACCAACATTCTTTTGAACGTGTACCTCTTCATTCAGGTTACTGCTCTCCTGGATAGTCTTAATCCACGCTAACATGTCATCTCTGTCTTCAGCTTGGAAGAGGCATTCGCAGTCGGATGTGGTAAGTCGAAACACGTTTTTCCTCTTGGTCTCGCTGTAGGAGATGTCGATTAAGCATGCATTAACACTGATGGGCTGCTCCTCCTCCGATGGAGTCACCTGCTCTCTCTTATCCTTGTACAAGTAAAGCGAATGGCCCCGAAGCACAACATACATCTGTTTCCATGGTCGGATACTTCCACCAACTCTCTAGAAAACAGGACACAAATTCATGAATACTTAATACTTACCTGACTCTTAGTGACAGGATAAGTACATTAAGCAATGCTCTTAATACACAAATTATATAACTGGTGTGTAGCAGGTATTTGATTTACCTTAATATACTTGTTAGGAAATTTAAAAATTGGGAAGTATAAAAATAGGCAATATTTCTTTCTAAATCAAGGACTATGAAATCCCAACTTCAATTTAGTCAGGAAGATGATATGGACAAAGTGACTTAAATAAATGCAGCAAAAATGTATAAAAAAATGATAAAGGAACAGAAAATAAGAAAAAAGGGACCAGTAGATGGTATAATAGGTACGTTGCTGGACTCCCACATGGCCGACCAGGGCTCGAGTTCTGGACACAGAGGCTGAAAACTCAAGCCAGGCATGTGTGCATACACGCCCGAAATCCCAGAAGAGAATAGAGGAGGAGAATGGAATGGATTGCAGCCATCCCCCCTGAGAGGTGAGTTTTTGCTTTCTGTCTCTCCCGTGAGCACACATGCCCTATAGCAAAAACCTCTCTCTCTCTCAAAAAAAAAAAGAAAAAAGAAAAATCTTTTGAGTGAAAGTAAGATTAAAGAAGATAAGTGAATCACAGCAAGAAATGATAAATGGCATAGAAAATTCCCAAATGATATGTACAAATAATGAATTAAGCTAACAAAGTTGGTCAATTTTACAGTATTAAGCAATAACATCCACATTGAGGGTGGATTTTCTTATGAATATTTAGCTCTTTGGGTAGTACTAAAATGTTGTTATAAAAAGGCAGATAAAAAGGTACAGGAAATTTTTATGGCAAACTTTTTATTATATTGAAGTATACGTTACTACTGTAATATAATTAAGGATATATTGGTATTACTATACTCATTTATATAGCAACATTTTCAAAAAGAAATAAGAAAGTAATAAAAGCAACTTAAAAGATAAACTGGGAAAAATTAAATAAAAGCAGAGCTTCTTTTTTTTTTTTTTTTTTTGAGAGGTTTTTGCTATAGGGCGCGTGCGCTCACCAGACAAGACAGAGAGACAGAGAGATAGAAAGCGAGAAATCACCCCCCAGAGGGGATGGCCTGCGCTCGCCAGACAAGACAGAGAAAGACAGAGAGATAGAAAGCGAGAAATCACCCCCCAGAGGGGATGGCCACGCCGCAATCCCTTCTCCTCCATTCTCCTCTCGGGATCTTGAGCACGCACATACACGCGCCTGGTGTGAGTTTAAGCCACCAGGTCTGGGACTCGAACCGTGGTCGGCTACATGGGAGTTCAGAGACATAGCCATTACGCTAACTGCTGGTTCCCAGATAAAAGCAGTTTCTTATATGCTTTGATTTCTTTTTCACATTTCCAAATTATAAGATAATATAGTCCCACGTGTATCAATAGTTGACATATAGAAAAAACATAAAATTGACTTCATTAGAAATTTTTAAAATTAAGTTTTTCTTTATAGAGATTAAATATTTGTAAATAAGTTTTTCTTTATAGAGATTAAATATTTGTAAATGATTTTTTTTTTTTTTGAGAGAGTTTTGTTATAGTGTGTATGATAGCCAGAGACACACAGAGAGAAAGAAAGTGAGAAATCACCCCTGCTCAAGGGGGATGGCCATGCCGCAATCCCTTCTTTTCCATTCTCCTCTAGGGATTTTGGGCATGCATACACATGCACCTGGCGTGCGTTTGAAGCCACCAGGTCCGGGACTCAAACCGCAGTCGACTACCTGGGAGTCCAGTGACATAACCATTATGTCATCTGCTGGCCCCTATAAATGATTTTTTTCACTCTCTGATCCAAAGATCTTGCTGTTTTATGTACACAGAATACATTCTCTTTGTCAGGGCCTGCATGTCTATGTTTGAGCAGCTGAGAAAATGCACTACCTTGCCCTTATCAGTGACAAGGGGTCGAAAATGAAGCCACCCTTCCTTGGTAGCATCGCTGAAAACCTCTGAGGAAGAATCTTTTCTGGATCCGGAGTCTTCTGATGACTTCTGGCTGTCTACAATCTATAAAAAGGCCAAGAAAACACAGTGAAATGTCAGCTTTTTCTTTTATAAATATTTGCACACTGAAATTACTTTGCTGAAGAAGTCTTAGTTAATGTTCCAAGTGAAGGGAACATTAACTAAGACTTAACATTATTTTTTAAAAAATCTTTATTAGTTACATTAGGGAAGTTCTCACTCTTAAGAAACTATGAACCACCTGCCATCATTTTTAAAAAGTCACCTGAAAAAGTTTTTTAGTAATTTAAAAACTAATACAAGTAGTATATTTGTCCTGATCTCATAAATTCACATTTTAGAAAAAAAAAAAAAAAAAAGGAAAAAAAAAAAGACCAGTAATTAAGGAAAAAAACAAATAAGAATATTATGATTTGTGCTATTTGGAGAAAGAATACAGCAAGGTACAATGATGAACGACTGAGCAGCAACGATAAGTTGTTGGTGCTGAGATGAGACCTCTCTAAAGTAACAACATTTAGCTGAATCTGGAGGAAAAATAAAAAGCAGCCACTAAAAAAGGTCAAAGGGAAGAAAAGTTCAGGGAGAATGTGCAGCTAATGAATTATATTCACTGTTATCATTTTAAACATCCACTGTTCAATGTAAACAAAATAGGTAATTACAGACTGTTAAGGATCTTTTAGACTGTGGTCGGAAGTGTGATGAAAAGTCATTAAGAGATAAATCAAGGGAGTAACATCATCTGATCACACAGCCCAAGGGAGTGTGAGGACAGGGAGGAATGTGAAGATTCAGGGTACTAAACATCCAAATGAGATGCCACACAGGCAGTTTACTTGAGCTGCAGTTTGGGGAAGAGGTCAAGGCTAGCAATATAGGGATCTGAATAAGATCACTGAGAAAGCCAGAGCAGAGGGGTCCTAACAAGATCTAGACATTCCAACATTTTGGTTACTAGGCAGAGAGCCGATGAAGGAGAGTGAGAGACAGTCTTAGAGACAGAAAGAAAACCAAGAACAAGGTAAAATGGAAGTCACAGAAGAAAATATTTCAGGAAGGGATTAGGAAATCATGTTGGATACTACTGAAAAGTGGAATAAATTAAAAACCAAAGTAACCATTAGTTTTGGAACCTGGACATGACTGGTGGCCTTGACAACCTTGGCATGATCAGTGTCATTTAGATGTGTGTGGGCTGAGAAAAGATGGAAACTGTGTACAACGTTTTCAAGGAGTTTACTGTGAAGAGTAGAGGAAATAGGAGCAGTAAATGAAGGATACAGATTCTACGAAGATTTTTCCTTTTTTTTTTTTTTTTTTAATTTGCTAGGAGGTACATGTGCTCATTGGAGAAAGACAGGGTGGAAGAGAGAAGGTGAGAAAGTACCGCTGAGGGACATGTTCACACTGCAATCCCCTCTCCTCTATCTTCCCATCCTTCTGGGATCTTAGGCACCCAAGTCCACGTGCCTGGTGTGTTTTCCAGCCACTGGTCACAGGCTGAAACTGTGCAGTCAGTCATGTGGGATCCAGCCACCTTAACCGCCATGCCACCAGCTGGCTTGGTCTATTTTTTAAATACTGAAAATAGCAGAACATGCCTACATAGAGTGGGGAATGAGCCACTGGAAAGACAGTGATTTTGCAGACAAAAAGAACCAAGAGGTGACAAAATCCAAAGAAGTGAGTGGTAGTGTTTAACAAAATAACATTCCAAGTGTCAAGAAGGCAGACAGTGTGAGTATAAATGCTGGTGACTGATATTTTGGGAGATGGTATCTAAGGAAATTACTATCTAATGATTTCTATGTTTTCAATGAAGTACGAGGGAAGAGTGGAGGAGAAAGGAGGTGAAATGCAAGGGGAAGGAGAGAAAGGCATAAAAGAATAATTTTGAGGATAGAAAAATGAACATATAACACAATACAATATAGAAAGCTTGTTGGGCAGTTAAGATTTTAGCGCTAAGGAGATAAAGTGAGAAAAAGCACAATGTGTGTAAAGTATTACTTACTTGATCAATATATTTAGAAATTAGAAAAGAACACTTTATACATAATATTTTCCAAACACACTTGACAGAGCATGAAAAGTTAAAACATTTAAATGTTGTCTAATGGATAAAGAACTATAAATCTTTATGAAGAGCCAAAGTATACTAAGGTAAATAGAAATTCTTAACACTTGTTTGTATTTTTAAAATATTAAATACCAACCTTGATTCCCTTCAGGCTAGATACGTGCTTAAAGGACCTGTTGGAAAGAAGTATATAAATATTTGTAATAAATTCAAAAAATACCTTAATGATGTAAGGATAATTCCAATACTATAACTAAACCTTCACTAGTGAGCTGACATTTTACCTACAATGTAAAAGGTATGTGAGAAAAAAACAGTGAGGCACAGTAACGTAAGTTATTTCTGAGTTGTCTCGGGTGGCTGAGATGTAGGGGGTAAGCATTACACATACACTTTCAGCCTGACTGCAGTGGGGAAGGTCAGGATTTGCTTCCCAGGTTGACCTGTCCACACATTGGTGCCTGGGAACCTGGCTGGCTGGAAAGGCTGAGGGGGCTCTCTCTCATGACAGAAATAAACTTATTAAAAACAAACAAACAAACAAAAAAAACCCCAAAACTCCAAATATATATATTTATACCATGTTTATCACTGTATCACTGATTTAAAAACAATTGTTTTTAATTCAGTTGAATATATAACCTTGTAACAATTTCCTCACACTTGCACTCTCTCTCATAAAATGAAACTTTTTTTTAAAGTTTTTTTAGGAAAAGGGGAGGAGAGCAAGAACGAGCATGCTCAACAGGGTCCTGTCAGGCTGCCTCCCCTCTCCCCAAGCCTCCAGCCAGTCAGGATCTTGAGTGTGTCCCATGGTCCACTGTGGACCACTTGGTTTTCTTTCTGTCTCTAAGACTGTCTCTCACTCTCCTTCATCGGCTCTCTGCCTAGTAACCTTCCAGCACCTGAGATGAGTATGATACCACCTACATCATAGAGGCTGGACCTCATTTTACTTTTTGTTTGTCTTTCTAATGTCAAAAAGTTAGAGAATACGACATCATTCGGTTTAGTATTTAGTATTGTTATTTTTAAATTGCTATAGGCCACATGTGCTTACTAGAGAGGGAAAGTGAGAAAGCAAGCCACCAGGTATGGGATTCGAACCATGGTAGACCCCATGGGAGTCTAGCACCTTAACCACTACACCACCTGCTGGCCCCTAGGTTTAGTATTTACATGTCAAAATTATGTTAAACATCTACCCACATACAAGTATTTTAAATAATACACTTCGGACTTACAGTTTTGCATCTTCTCTGTAATCATCCAGACCCTCATCATATGATTTTGATCTTTCTGTCTTCGAGCTGGGATGGGCATCCAGGCTAGGAGGGCCAACCGATTCTGTAATTGAAATCCAATGGTTAGATACTCCCAAGTGGTCTTCAGATGTTTTTGAGGGTAAAGAAGATCAGTTTGTTATACTGTTCTAAGTGGAAACTGAAAATGAGACGTGGTTTGTGCCGCTCTTAAACGTACCGTGGTCATGGGAGAGCTGGCGTCGAATTAAAGGAGCTGACGTTGTGAGGCTGGGAGGGACTGTGGCTATTGAGGGGACTTGCGAGGTGGAGGCTGAGATCACTGCGGAGGCGGGGATGTGTGCGATGTCGTGATCAATACTAGGACTGGTTGGTTCATCTGTAAGAAGACAGTAAAGCAGATATTGAGATGTTAACTGACCTGTTGTTAAGAATAAGAATAGAGGGACCAGCAGTTAGTGTAATGGCTATGTCGCTGGACTCCCACGTAGTCGACCACGGTTCGAGTCCCGGACCCGGTGGCTTACTCACGCTGGGTGCTTGTGCGTGCATGCCCAAGATCCCGAGAGGAGAATGGAGGAGAAGGGATTGCGGCATGGCCATCCCCTCTGGGGGGTGATTTCTCGCTTTCTATCTCTCTGTCTGGCTGGCGAGCACACACGCCCTATAGCAAAAACTTCTCCAAAAAAAAAAAAAGAATAAGAATAGATCCAGGGCCGGCAGGTAGCATGGTGGTTAAGAGAGCTGGACTCCTACATGGCTGACTGTAGTTTGAGTCCTGGATCTGGCGGCTTGCTTTCTAGCTTTCTCTCTCTCTCTGTTCCTCTCTGATCCAATTAAACTATATAATAAAAAAATAAAGTTAACAAGAACATTCTTTAAAAAGGAATAGATCTAATAGTCACTACTTATTATCAAAAAGAGTCAGATGAAAAATTTTAACACTTAAGCATTAAAGGACCAAAAAGTGACATACTTGTTTAGCTAAAAGTCTACTTACAGCTTTACCACCTTAGTCATTCCAAATAGATCCTAAGAAAATGGTATAAGAAATTAAACGAGTTGTTGCTTCTGTGGCTTCACTAACTAATAACCAAGGTACAAAAGTTTATAGGTATTGAGAACCTAAACACATCAAACCAGAGCAATAATTATATACTAAAAAATTACTTTTTGCCTTTTAAATACATTACAGATTATCATTTCGGGAAGCTAAGCAAGTGATTTAGTTAGGCTTAGCATTCAAAGTACCAGTTCCTAAAAGTTTACTCCACCTCCCATCCCATGGATATTTTTATAGGGAAAAAAATACAAAGTTCAGTTTATAGCTGCCAGAAATTATTCTGAACTTTTGTGCATATCAGAAAACTGTGCCTTCTTCCTCAGGGAGATGTTGGCTGTCCCCTGTAGGTACAATCCCATGAGGCTCTTTGAGCAGAAGCTCTCGTACCCTTATGGAAATACGAATATTTTAGGGCTACTAGTTTTAAGCTTTCAAAGCCTATCATTACCTGTCAAGGGCAAAATGCATCTCTGAATGCATATGCATGTGTCAGAACTGATAACACACTGCTAGGGCTTACTCGGTACTAGCAGCATCTAAATATATGTTCTTTCAATTCATACTTAACACATCTTTAAAAATAGGCACTATTTTATTGATGAAAAATTCAAGAGAGACAATGATTTACTGTGTAAAGTTGAAAAGCCTTAGGGACAGAATTCAAACCCAGACATCTGAGTAACAGGTGCTGCTCTGTACGCATACATGGTATTTGCCTCCCTGTGGGTCAACGAAAGCCTCATTCAAGATTCTTAGTCTTGGCCCAGACTAGGTGACACAGCCCAGAGCCTACTGGACTATTATGGTGGAAAACCATATGGCCAACTCACGTTTGGATCCCAGGCTGGCCTGAAAAGATTTAGGGGCCAGACATCCGGCTGCCCAAAATCCTGAAGGGCTGGCGGGCTGGGGAAAGAGGATCATGGTGTGGTTAAGTCCCTGCTGAGGGTGCTTCCTCACTCCCTCTCCCACTCTTTCATGTGGGTGCGCACGGACGCTAGCATTACATTTTCTTTTTTAATTCTTACTCTTGTAAAAGAAGAAAGGGTTTAAATTCTGATATTTCAGACCATAAGAATATAATTCAGTAGGATGCCAGAACTGTAATTCTTAAAATTCAATGCCCCATAATGAAACCCTTTAAAAACTTGCTATAATGATAAAACATAGTATTTTTATTTGAAAGGTCAAAGTTTTGTAATAATCAGTGTTTTAATCAATAGTGCTAATAATGTTACAAAATGATGACATTTCTTTTTTACAGCCCAAATCAGTAAACTCTATCTTAAGCTTATTCTTGTTTTTTATAATTTTCATTAAACGTGGCTCTTCACATTAGCAAGAGAAAACATTTTGTGAGTTTCTTTATGAAACACTTTTACTAAGTATATGACAGCTTACTGTCACAAGTCTGTGAGAATGCAGTAAACTTTTTCCCAAAAGCAAGGAGCATACCATTTCAACTCAATGAGGACAAAAATGTTATATTTCTTAAATTTGTGGTATGTAAAACTCTCATTAGGATTTAGATATCCTCAAATTTAACAAAGTTTCTTCTAATGATAAACAGATCTGAAGTTGTTTTTTCCTTTCTATTGGGGGGGGGGTTGCTATATGGCATGTGTGCTTGCCAGAAAGACAGAGACAGAAAGAGAGAAATCATCCCCTGGAGAAATGACCATGCCGCAATACCTTCTCCTCCATTCTCCTCTCAGGGTCTTGGGCATGCACGCATATGTGCCCAGCGTGAGTTTTAAGCCACCAGGTCCGGGACTCAAACCATGGTTGACTACATGGGAGTACAGCAACATAGCCATTACACCAACTGCTAGTCCTGTAAGTTGTTCTTATGAATTCTGTAGGTTCACAATTCTTTTTTTTTTTTTTTTGGGGGGGGGGGTAGTTTTTTTTTTTTTTTTTTTTGGGGGGGGGGTTTGCTAGTGTGCTTGCCAGACAGAGAGAGACAGAGAGACAGAAAGTGAGAAATCACTCCCCACGGGGGAAGGCCATGCCACAATCCCTTCTCCTCCAGTCTCCTCTCGGGATCTTGGGCACAAACACACACATGCCTGGCAATAGTTTAAGCTGCTGGGTCTGGGACTCAAACCGTGGTCGACTACGTGGGAGTCCAGCAACATAGCCATTACACTAACTGCTGGTCCCAATACTGCATTCCTTAGAAATTATCTGGCTTATGCAATATTAATAGTTTGTAGAGATTTTTACAGAAAAAACATTCACTAGAATGAGTTCTGATGAAATCTATTCCACAAATACAGGGGGAAAAAAAGACATAAAAGGTATTTTTAGAAATAGAGAAGACAACATTTTTCAAAGTGGGGCAGCTAATCCCTCTAGGGACATGTGGTTATCAAATGTGTCAAACAGCGTCTAACAGATGCAGTGGGATAAATCTTTCAGGAGAACGCTTTTATGTCTTCAAAGGAATTTAAACCATTTTTATATTTATTTCTTTAAAATAAAATATCATGAATTCAAAATGTACACAGATTGGGCCTTAAAATTTCAATGTCAATTTTTTTTTTTTTGTAACTCTGGATTTCCTGGTGTTAGTCAATCTCTTTTGACTTATTCCATTTTTTGGGAAACTTTCTGAAACACTGGATTTCAATAATTTCCATTTAAAGTATATGTTTATAGAAAGGTGTGGAAGGAGAGACCCTCACCTGGTCTAGGGAGGAAGATAGACTGGAGGAGGCGTGGGAGAGATCAGTTAACACTGGGCTTCCCTATTTCAGCATTGTTCACAGTCTTCATAATAAATGCATTTGATTAGTATGTTAAAGACAAAAGGCTACTTAAAATATTTTAAGAATCTATACAATTACATTACCTCATATTTATAGATTATACTAATAAATACAATTCTTTATCCCCTTTGAAAATAGAAGTTCCTTATTGTAAAAAGATCATTTGGGGGCCAGCTGGTGGCATGGTAGTTAAAGTGGCTGGATCCCACATGGCCAACAATGTGGTTCAAGTCCTGAATCCAGTGGACTGAAAAAATACATGCCAAGCACTTGTGAATGGGTGTCCAAAATTCTAAAAAGAGGATAGAGGAGAAGGGATTATGGCACTGCTGTCCCCCTTGAAGCAGGGACTTTTTCACTTTCTCTCTCCAGCAAACTCATGCGCCCTCCAGCATATTAAAGAATAAAAAAAATTGTTATGATTAAGCCAAACTTTAAAACTAACTTTCACATACACTTTAATACTATCAGTGTGTAGGTTATATAAAAAACAAGAATAATTCGGGTTTATCTCATTTTCCAATGTAATCAAATAGATACGATTTAGTTGTCTGAAAGGGAAAAAATAATCTTTCATTCTCATATATGAATATACTGAAAACCATTGTGCAGCCACATTTTCAATTATTCTCTAGATTTGTAAATATTCAGATGAAATTCAGAGAAATGGAAATAACTGATATCATTACCCTAGACATGCCATGCTCTGTAGGAAGACATTAAATAATGCATGCAATACACATATTTGTGAACAGTAATTAGGACTATAGAGTTGCTATTTGCTATTATCCTTTTTCCAATTTCCTTTTATTACTAAAAGTTAATAGGACTTTATAATAAAGAAAAGGTAAAGGACATTAAAGTTATTTATCTAATGTGATCACTATTTCCTAAACTGTAAAAAGAGAGAGAGAGAGAGAGAGAGAGAGAGAGAGAGGCAGGCCTAAATATCCAAAACTTTTGTTTTTACTTTTGGAAAATGGTGTTTTCCAAAAGGAGATAAATAACTAATTCCCATAGAAAGTAAACACTCTATAATTTGGTCTGCAATTTTTCTAAATGGAGATTATAAGTTGTTATGTTTCTATGATTATTAATATCTATATAAGAAACTTGCTTTTTAAAATAATATTCTCAAAGAACATCTTAAAGAAAAGTGCAATTATGTACAAAAATCAAGCGGGCACTGTGAAACTTTACAATGTTAAAATGTTTAAACTGTTAAAATGTTTTTCAGGGACCAGCAGATGGCATAATGGTTACACTGCTGGACTCTCAAATAGTCAACCGTTTGAGTCCCAGATCTGGTAGCTTAAATTCTCACCAGGCCGTGTGTGCATGCGTGCCCAAGATCCCGGGAGGAAAATGGAGGAGAAAAAGATTGTGACGTGGACATCCCCACTGAGGGTGATTTCTCACTTTCGGTCTGTCTGTCTCTCTGGAGCGCACATGCCCTATAGCAAAATTCTCTCTTAAAGAAAAAAAAAAAAGAAAAAAAAGATTTTTCAAACAACAAAGGAAAAACAGAAACCATCATATACAAGG